GACCCCGAAAGGGTGGAAGGCTCGGTTGGCCCGGGCGAATATCGATCCGGGAGCTGAACCGCCGACCGTGCGTATGTGGCAATGCGCCACTTGTCGTTACACCACCTCCCCCAGAGTTTTTATATTTATTCAAATTAATGAGGAAATAACATGATAACAAATGTAAGAAGTACACAAGCTCAGCTCAGCTCATAACTCCCCGAAAGCACTATTTTAATGTTTAAACAAGCAAAAAGCTGGGGAGCGCCCAAAATTTCCCATTTTTCTGTATGACTAGGTAGATGGCATGTTAAAGCAACATCTCGACCAAGACGTCTATGAGTGGAATGTGATCCCGGCTATTAACGATCGATCGACTCAGGTTGTCCGTTTGCACCTATGTCTTTCCCTTTCTCTTTTATCTACGTCAGCGACGGCTCTTTTTTCCAACTGGGCCATTAGCTGGAGCCTGCCGAGCTCGATTTTAGCCTGCGGATGAATGATCCTAACTGAGATCCAAACCTTGTGGTTTTGATTACTTCCTAGAGCCGTCCACATGCTCTTCGATGTGCTTCCCGAAGGGAGTGGAGATATGTATGGGATTTTCATCAGCCAAGTAGGTAAAACTGTGCCCCCCATACAAGATTACGGTGCAGTCACTTTCCGATAAGCTCCTATCCGCATCCCTTTCCGGAAAGTACAGCGCATGTCCCCTGTTATGCTGCTCCCTTACAGCTTTCTGCCTCATCATATTGATTGCAGATGGAATCACGAGCGGTTCATGGCATTTAACATGTGATGAGAAAATGTCGGAGGCCGCAAAAAGCCGTGGAAGGTTGTGATTCATCCAAACGTGCCGGGCACGACAGTTTCAATGACTTCGACAGTTGCCGAAGATGTTCACGGATCCCTTTGTGGACCCTTTACCTTTTGTTAATCTCTATGTTCAGCTTTGAAATATGGCGTTCTGTCATACTTGCTCTTTTACAATCAGGTCCTTCTAAGTCCATGTGATAGATCTGTAGCTAAAAGACGAAAACGGTGCTTGAACTGGATCCATGCTGTCCTCGGATTGGCCCACTGAATGATATCGCTTGTCTACCGAAACCGAATCTGCCGCTTGTAACAAACTCTTAACAGTGACTGTAGCAACGGTGTGTTACCCTAGGTCATTACCGTCGAGCTGATCGTAGCCTGTTCGGTCAGTACAACACACTTGGTTGGTTCTGTATGGAAGTTCTGACGCTCCCTGCTCGCTACCTTTCTGAAGCTTTCCGCTCGCTACGTCTTGCCAGTGACATCACCGTTACCGAGTCCTCTCTTTTTTTATGCATGACTTTGGAATGGAAGTCTTGCTATCCGCGGATTTTGTGATACAGTAACCATACATTCTGAGGTAGGAAAAACAGTGGGCGACCAAGACACAACTGTCACATACAAGGCACCTTGAGTGGCTACCAACGTGAGAAATTTGTAAAACAAAGTTTGTGAACTTTTGAAAAAAGAAACTGACCGGTTGTTGCTTAAACCCTCTTATCGATCGTAGCTGTTGTCCTATTCCTCTGGGAAGTGAAAAGTCCCGATTTGCCCATGGCACTGTCGAGGTTGCTTTGAAGAGCTGTAATCAACTAGATCGATATATCGATACCCCTATCGAAAACCTTGATTCAATGTATGAGGGACTATGAGCCGAACGGTGCAATCTGGTACTGTAGCGGTTAGGCGTCAGATTAATTAGGTTCCTGTGTCTTTCGGTAATTACGGTTTATTTCGCGGCTTAATATCAGACAGCTTGAATTCTGAATGTTCAGTGATTCTAATTTTTGAAACTGTGCGGCATCGTTTGACCTCTTATTGATGATTTGATTGAAACCCTAACTTTCCCTCCAGTCCTAACTACTCTTAGTTACACCCGGTGCTTGATTTTCATACATCCTGAGAAAGGTATACCGTCTACATTCCTCTGTGTGGCTCAGAATTGGTCACCGTGTAGGAGGGCCATCCCGAATGATTTTTTGGTTGGAATGAGTCATCTCTAAACGATCTGGAACACCAAGCTTACGAAACCTCTACACCCCCCACTTGGGGTAGGCTGAGCTGTTGCCAACCTCAACATTAAGTGGACTCTAACATAATTGAAATAGCTTCCCATTTTCGACGTCGCCATTTTTCCTTGCCCAATTTCTTCCGAATTCACTTATATTAGTTATGTTTTCGTGACAAAACCGCCTACTTTATTACACTATGTACAGGGAAATCCTCAACAATGGAGGATACGCCGTCGTCCGAGACAATCTCTTCCACCAGTGCTCCAGCAGATGAAGCACCGAGAAAGTTGACCAAAGCTGAAAAGAAAGCTCTATATCGGGTTACACATGCAGAGCCGCTCGAAACGAGACGAAAAGTTTTGAAGGTAGTTCCGTTTCCTTTTGGGTTACCTAAGGAGACCATTAGTTCAAGGTATTCCTCATGCCGTATTACTTCGATAGCTCTTTGTTAGAGTCTAGTTTAAAGATACAACCGGTTGTGGTTCTAGTATTGAGTTGATGATGCTTCGAAACGGCCCTAACTACAGCTGTTTATAAAGTTTTACCTTAACATGGCCCTAGGGACTGTAATTAAGTTTCCTTTTTCTTTTTTCAGGATGTCTACTTAAACGAAAAAGACGAATTGCTTAAGGAAGAGTTGCTCACCACCATCCTATTCTCTATATTCGAGATTGATGAGAATCCCTACGATTCGATGCTACAGCTTCACAAAATTTCCCCAGATTACTCATCCAACAAGCCGAAGTCTTTAGCTGGTCAGTTGCTTGTTTATTACCTGCGAATGTCTACCATCCTTTCTCTATCTACCTTTGAAGGGACCATAGCCACAAGTTTTTATAAATGGTTACTGAAACGTGACGATAGTACTGAACTATTCCATAGGTGTGTCACTGAGGAACTTCAGGTCAGTTAGTCCTTACTCTGTGTCTTAAAATCGATATTTTATTAATCAATCTGATTTAGTATTGTTTACAGATGGAAGCATTCCGCATTGCAACTGCAAAGCATACAGGGTATTTGAAATTGTTCAAGGAAGTCTTTCGCCTAAAAGAGCCAGATTTGCTAAATTATGTAAAGGAAGAGATCAACGTGAGCCATTCCTTTGTCCTTTGACTATTACTTTTACTCCATTCTTGTTCTAACCTTGCCTTTAACATGAGTTTTACTTTCCTGACCAGTTTCCGTTCTTCGCAAATGGAAGAAGGGTTGTAAGTCAAGGACCAAATGGTTATTAAGTGGGAGATTTCCTCCCTTTGTGATTGTAGTGTTGGTCCATGGTCTTCTAATTTGAAGCTACTAAATGAGAAGACAATGGACCGAAAATACAATCATCATTGAAAAAGCTCCTTACTCAGTAAACAATTGGTCTCTGTTTTACAATTATTCTCCCAGACGAGAGAGGACGAACTTCTCCAGCGTTGCAACTTTACATCCTTGTTCATGCTCTCAATTTTAAGAACATGATCGATCGACATATGTTTAAAGAAGCAATGGATGTTGTTGAAGAGTTCGGTCTCCAATCTGATTATGGCCTACACGCTTTTGTTATTCCTTGTTTACTACAGGACAAACTGAGTCTAGTTATTAAATATGTTGAAAATGATAGAAAAATGCAGGTGGTCATAATTTCTTGAGTCGCTTTGTACTTCAAAAACTTAGTAGAGTCTAAATTTGTTCAAGGAAAGCTTGGTAGCATATCTGGACAGTTTCGTGGGTATGTCGGAATGTGATGTTATTGGTCGATTACGAGAGTATAAGGATAACCAAATAATGACAATGCAGTACGAAAGATTCACAGGTGCTGGAAATGTCACTTTCCTTTATGCCTTCAGAAAACTATTAAAATCCATTTGAAGGAAAAACGATTGAGAAGATGGTTTACAAACTCACCAATGAACTCGCTTTACCAGTGGAATCCGTCGCTCCGAATCTTTTTCGTGCTCGAAAAGAGGGAGATCTTAGGTTTAAGGTCCAGGCAAGGTTAATTTCCGTGCTTGAGCTCTGAAAAGTTCCGATTACAGATACTTTTTGCAGGTTTGTGAATCGGGAGCTTAATGATGATGCGTACTTTGGTCACATAAGTGTTAGTTTCTTAAGATTTTTACTTTTGATCCAGCAGTTTTTCTAGCTTTTTGTAGGTTCTTTAATGAATGGCTATACGTTCTGCGGAGAGCATTTGTTCCAGCATTTCAGGAAACCTTAAGAGGAAGCGATGAAAGTTTGAAGATGTACTTTATAAATTTCCTTACTGGTCAACGGAATTTGTGGGTTTCAGTTTGATTCAGCACTTTGCCTCTATTTTGAAATTGCTTTCGATTTTGATGAGCCTGCACGATTATAGTGAAGACGCTGTTCGTTGGGTTGTCTACTGCAACATTCCTGATGCACGATTACCTCGTCGATTACGGGAGTACATAAGAGATACCCCTGGTGTCCTAGACGAAGCTGAATCCGATATAAGACGGTGTGCCTTTACTCATATTACTCACTCATACAGTTGCTTCGGAATGATTAATTGCACTTATAGTATAAGCCATATTTGTATTTTGTTGAAGGCTTGAAGCGAGGGCGCTAGATATTGGAGATGATGACCCTGAATTGATGCCTGGATACCCCATAATCACGATTACTACATGGAAACAACTGGGTGCTTTAACAAAGAAGCTTGAGGGCGAGACTCATATTGGTATTGATTCGGAATGGAAACCGCAATACGCGTCGTTCAGTGAGAAGTGATTCTTCAGTCTCTCATTTAGTTAGTTAGTTTCGTTGCTGCCGATCGCAACTTTCGTCGACGATTTCAGCATCGCTCTTCTGCAGATTGCAACTAAAGATGCAGTTTATTTAGTGGATTTCATCTCATTGAAAATGGGGAATAACATCAAAGAAAACGAGTTGGAGTCGTTTCTGCGAAGCCTTCTCTGCTGTCCATCCATGAAAATCGGTAAGTTAATGTTTTGTGTTGTAAGCTCATTACCGAAATGGCTTAATTTTCAACTCTTTAGTTATTGATTAGTTCAAAACGCAAAAAACCAGGCACCGTTTCTGCCTCATACTTGTGCCCGTTTTCTAGCGCTTATCCATTGTCACCACTTAATCAGGCATCTCTAGGTTTCGATCTCACGAACGATTTGCGAACGCTTTTTGCTGGTTCCTCAATGTCACAATTACGTTCCATTGCTGATGATCTCTGTAATGTGGTCTGCATCAAAATGTTGGTTGAAAATGTTAGTAGCTTGCTTACTTCATTTTTATTTTGTTTGTCATTGAGAGCGGTTCCTCTTTCAGCTAATTGAAGAAGATCGTGGGTTTTTCGACAAGGAAGGTGATTTCTCGCTTTTGTGTATCTCTTATACAATTTTCGAAACTTTTCCGCAGCCAGCGCTTAGCCTTTTTCAGTACTTTTCTCATAGTCATGATTAGATTTGCAGGATTGACTAGCTCCATCCACCAAGAAGATTTGGACGATGATACTGACAGCGTTCCGTTGGTACACTTCAAGCTTAGCGACCTCAGTGAAAAACTACTAGGTGCTAAGCTTGATAAGTCCGAACAGGTGATTAGTAAGTAAATTTCCCATTGCGTGATGTTTCAGTGAACCTTTTTCATTTTTGTGTCTTCTTTTGAAACGGAGGGGTTACTTCATGAATTTCGATGGTTTCCTTATTTATCCTTTCCTCAGCGACAGATCTTTCGGAACATAGGTTTTCAGCTTGAGTCCTTTCACGTCCTTTTTTATAACAGTTTATATTGATCTAAGGGTGGTTGGATTGGTTTGAGTAAAACAGTGTAGTCCTATGATGACTTCATTTTCTGAATTATCGCTAGTGCTGTAACTTTCAGTGCAGCAATTGGACGATTCGACCCTTGCGAGCTAGTCAAAAGCGCTATGCTGCAATGGATGCTTACATCGTGGTGGAAATATTTTCGAAGCTAAAAGCGTCAGCCGAGTAAGTCGTTTCTATAGTTTCTGCCCATGCCTATTTTGTAAAATGGGCTACAAATTTTTAGACTACGGTGCGAAATCTGTTTTAACGATGTAAACACGTTTATCACTGTGTTTAATAGTTTGTAAAAACTAGGTGAAAATTGCTAGTAATTGAGCTCTTCTCTCATGTCTTCTTGTTGTGAATGAAGGGTAACAAACTACAGTGTGGTACACGAAACAAAATCGCTTGAGGCAGTCACTTTTTTCGGTCTGAAATCCTGAACCTGAGGTTGTGGAAGTGTTTTGAAACAATTCCAATAAAAGAGATTATGTTACTCGATGAAAACTGGATTGCTGCCGAAAACCAATATGAACATATCGCCAGAACTGGAATTGATATCTTGTGTCCAGGAGTTTATGATGGAGCCTCCTTTCTAGCTATGTTTCAGGGCCCGCGGCATCGATTTCCGAGCAATGATTCAGAAGTCTTGTGTAAGTGCGAAAAAGAAGGAAAGAACGAAATCAAAGAAGGAGCGAATGAAAATTGATGATATGCCTTGGTCAGAAATATGCGAGGTTACAAAATTCTATAAATGTTACTGGAAAGAGTTCTGTTTTTTGATCCCTTGTTGATGTGACAACCATGTAAGAGTTGTAGCTATCTGCAGAGACTAGAGGATGTGCTGTCGGGCACGCGACCTGCCACCGAACTTCAATGCATCGTGGATTCTATGCTGTTAGGGCTTGGTAAAAACCTGAGGTAAGTTGTAGTGAACATTGCTTTGTTTCGGATATATTCATGATTTATTGTTCATAGCGTTTTCTGACAGACGATGTGGTGTGAATGTGTTGATACCTGAAAACAGATATGATCTAAAATGCAGGGCTTGTGGAAATAACAGAATCATCCTTACCAGTGGAAAAGCTTATGATGAGGTACGTTTAATATGGTAGTTGACTAATTTCCTAAATTCAACATTCCTGCAGTTGAGGCCGCTATTCCCTTCTCGAGTTCTTTGTATTCCGAATGCGGGTAACTTAAATCCAATCGAGCAGCTGAAATATGTCTTCAATAGGCACAAAGTGTCGCTTTCAGGACAGGACGTGTTTTCACGCTGTATGGTTAGTTTTTTTTGCTGATGTTACCAATCATAAAAATGTTTATCTGGAGATTAAATACGGATTTTTCGAAGTACTTCTCAATGCAGCTACGCGTACTTGCATAACGATGTTATAGGAGTGCAATGCTTCATGTTTTGTGAAAGTGCCAGGACCTGTGATTCAAGCTCTTTTCGAGAATGTTGTCTTGTGTCGAAGTGGCTTTCATGATGATGTTTTCGATTTCAATGGTGAGTGAACTGTGGTATACGGTAAATAAACAAGATATTCGTTGCGATGAATATGAGTATTTGAAAGCTGTCAGCTCCTCGAGTATGCCGTTTATTTGACTGGCTCGTATACCAGATGCATAGCCACTTACGTCGTCTGATGTTCCACCTACGTAGTTCAGGCATGTAAATATTATAGAAGTTGTCAAATTTGGCAATCCATCGTGTGGTCGACTATTCAGAAGAACTACACTTTTGCTTCATGCCATACTTCAATCTTTCCCTTCCCTATACCCCCTTCTCCCCTTTTTTTGGAATAATTTTTCTATGAAAGCGACTATGTTCTGCAGTGTATTTGTCTCACTCGCCATGCGCTACAGTATAGTGTTCACATATTGCCACTCAATTAATATAGAATTTCGATTGTTTGTATAGTTCTCATCGGTCATATAATTAAGATTTATTATGTAATATCGATAACTATGGAGTTTGTTCACGTACTTATTGACTTGGCTAAAGCTGTGGCGTAGACTTTTAAAGATGGCTGTCGGTTCAGGGTGGGCCGAAAAGCTTTCGTCCGTCGATCCCCGTAATTACTCTGGTGTCGGCTGTCGTTTAATATTGTGCAATAATAATGACATGGTTGTGGAATGTTATGGCGGAACTGTTGACATAATGTGAGTTCTGTTTGTTGGTTTATTGCCTGTTATCTGTTCTTTCAAAGAAATAAGTTCTTGAAAGCTTTGCTCCTGTATATGGCTCACCTATACTGACTTCAGATCTAACATCGTGACGCATGATCATCTCGAGGAAGGAGTTGATGTAATTGTGCGACGAGTAAGTCTGAAATATTGTCAATAAACTTTCTGTGATACTCCTTACTTATAACTTTTTGTGACTTCGACATTGCAGGCATGTTAATTTCCTTTCGTATTCTGAATTTAGGTACCCGAGCAGGTAGTATCGCGGCCTGGAAACGTTTTCTTCCTATGTGGATCGTGTGGAAAGGTCTATTGGGACAGCGATACGCATGTTACATAATTATAGACGTTGACCATGTTGTGAATAAGCTGTAAGATTTGTTTTAATGAGACATTGTTCAGCTTAGTTCGTGCTATTTTATTTTGAGTGCTTCTTAGAGTTCTAACTTTGGGTTTAGACTAATAAAGTCATTTCTCCAACCAGAGATTTGGTAGCTGAAAAGGAAGATCTCAATGGGAATCACCTGTTCGGTTTCTAATAGTATCACGAAGGTCAATCAAAGGCTTACTGCATGGTAGCGTAGGTATATTTTGTGACGATCTATTGTGAAAATGTATGTGCTAAACGGTACACCAATGATGTAGAGGCTGAACAGCCTATCATTCTACCAATTCCAGCGTATGTGTCTTAGAGCTAAGATCCTTATTGGATTTCTTTGTTATTAAAAAGGATAAAGGATTGAGGTTCGGGGCATAAACAATGCCGTATGAGGTTGCGCCCCGCACTCTGCTTCCTTTCAGAATCGTAGTGGCGTAATGAGTGCGTATGTGGCCTATACAATNNNAATTGTGGTAGCCAGCCAATGTACAAGTCCGTGATTTTAACCTCCTAGGGGTCTGGTACCTATTTACCGACCCCGGAGGGATCAATGGCTCAGTTGGCTCAGGTGGGTATCGATTCGGGGTTCGAACCCGTGATCATGCGCGCGAGATAGTGCCCCACATGCCACTACATCAGCTCCGCCCTTTTACTATTATTTATTAAACAGTGTGGGATTATACAAACCTAACCACATTCAACGATGCATAATTTTTCCTCCTGTTGACATCAAATTTGAAAAGGGGTTGCTTGTCTGGGACATTACTGCCTGCCCCTTTTTGCGACGTGTAAGTTACTTTGTAAATCTTAATTCTGTCCCAATTTCCATGTGCGTTTTGTGCATGTAATAAATAATAATAGCAATAATTGCGACAAAGAAAGGAATAGGATGTCTACCGCCTGAGTGCGTTTTTTACGGGTTGCACGCAACTTGGTATTAGAATGGATCCTCCTGGCATAACTAGCGATAGCATGTTGAACGATTGGTTGAACAGTTGAAAAATGAAATTGATGATGAGTAGTCAGCCGAAGTTATAAAGAAGGACAGGAAACGTCAAATCGTCAGCGCTATCTGTAAACTTGGACTACTTCGCTCAGATGTAAGCATAGAGATCCTACGAACGAAAAGTTGCGCCTTGAGTAATATTCCACTTCCTCTCAATCAACTGGTAACCTGTTATAAGCTTGTCTTTTCAATGGTTATGATCTTTGCGCTGGGCGGATTAGTTCAGAGTTTGTATTTTAGGTCAAAGTTTACCAGTTACGAAATTAAATAGTCGCTGACCTTTTTCAATCATTGGTTATTACCCATTCCAACATCTGTACAATTTTGAGAAGAAGTCGAGTGTAGGGCTCATTCTCCTGGAGCCTCCTGACTCACCTCCGTTCATAAGAACCAACCGCGATGACCTTGTTAAAACATGATGACTCCAAGGAAGATGTCTGGCATGTCACCTTTCGTCAGAAGACGGTTTGCCATGTTCCAGCGAACCTCAACAGGTTTGAATGAGTAAATTAACTTGTCAGAAAATGTTCAATGGGCATGTCATATTGTTTGCGACAAGTCGGTCTTTTGTCATCCTCTCACTTATTCAGTATGGGAGTGGGAAGCCACTCCAGGCTCCTTCTTTACCTTCTTCTTTACCGTGTTCCTCATGAACTGCTCTAGCAACGTCAAAAATGTCTTACCCTGAACATAAGAAGCCGTAATGAGGTATGTCGTTTACTCTATGCTGTATTTTTATTGAAATTTCGTTTATTGGGCTTCTTAATATCTTCATTTGTGCATTTCTTGTCTCCTAACAGTATAATTGGAATTCATTTCTTATTTCCTACATTGAAATTGAAGATGGAGGAGTTGTGGATTCAGCTACACGAACCAGATACGTATTGACTGACGGATCCCACGCCAGAAGGGCGGATATCGTCGATCAGTACGTACAAAATAATGGTAACGGATCCGATACCCAATTAACAATTCCCCAGTGACAAGTGGGTTAGCTAGGTGGTGGAATAGAAGCAGTCCTCATTCGCATCGAAAAGTTCAAAAAAAAAACGGGAGTCTTCCTGAAAGCCAGTTTCTCTTCTCATCACCACACGTTGTAGCAAACATATTACTGTTAGACTGTCAAAAAAATTTTTGGCCTCAGTAGTTGAGATCCTTGGGCTCCCAGGCGCAGTAGCTGGGATAGAAGCATCATATCTTCCAGATGGCTACCCCTTCGACATTTCTCCAGCGATGCACATAAATTTACAGCTTGGGTTCATGGTAGCACTTGGAAGTTTCATCGCTACAGTAGTTTTTAGGACCACCCAGTAATTGGTTCACTGTAATGCATTACAGCAAGCTACAGAATAGAAGAGTCTGACCCTTTTTCTGAAAATTCGTGTGTGGTATAGGACTTGATTCGAAGCTCGTTACCAGGGCTAGGGATTTTGGTGCTGGTACGGGACCAGTCGAAATTATAATGATCAAAAACCTGCTCCCCCCTTCGCAGACCTCAAAGAGGGCGTCAGCATGACAAAGCAACACCCTTTCCAGAACATTTGGTCAGTATCAAGCATTTACAACCGTGCCACATGGCGGACCATTCTGTTGTCCGTGCCGCAAATGGTATCTCTAATGATCGAAATGATTGACGTCTGTTAGTAAATTAAATACAGTTGAACGGAGCATCGATCGATACAGGTCTTTCTAACATAAACGATCGGAAAAGGCAGTGAAGGATACTGTAGATTGGTCCAGACCTCCCTAACAGCACAATTTTCAACCCCTTCAGAGGAAAGTGGGTAAGATTGCATTTGATCAGTTCCTATCGTACTCCTCATCTTAGAGAGATTGAAAAGACAGAAATCTTGCTACATAGTTTAAGCTCAGGCATTCCTGACTGTTACGGTATCACATTCAAATACCAGAAACCCATCCTCAACGCTTGAATTTCGGCCTTAGGAGGTTTGGAGGTTTTTACAGGCGGCCTCGATCGCTGATTCGATTCATAATGATGGAATCGAATTATGCAGACATTTTTTGGCATACGGTTTATTCCACATGATTTTCCTAACTGGTTCTGCTCAAAATTGACTGTAAAACTCTATGCGGTCTTCTCGATGCATCGCACGTCGGCGGAAAATGGGCAGTGTCGTGAATGTTCTAACGACAGTTTTGCTGTGTTCTCGTGAGCAATGCAGCTGTTTTCCAGCATCTTTCCCCGGGACTACATTTTCTCTAGAACTCTACAAGATTGGCAAGATGAGGACTTTTGCAATTACGATGAGGTATGCCCATTGATCATTGTTTATTTGTCCGCAAAAATGGCATTTCCGAAGGAATTGAGCTTCTCAAACGATTCCTGCACGGGTATATACTTAATGATGGGTCTTAGAGCGTTTGAGTACTGTAACTGATTGTCTGTCTGATTGTTAGGGAATCCATGCCCGACGTTAGGGGAAGTTTCAACCCTTTTCTTAAAGGTTGCTTCTTATTGTTGTGGTAAAGGTCTTCACAAGCCATTGCCTTGAGGTCTAATTGATCATGTCAGGACCCTTCATATTCATTAGTAGGAGGGTCCTGGCATGATCCATCGACCTAGCTTCAACGCGCTGACGGCAGTGGCATCTCTTGACCAACAGACCCTAACAGGGTGGCTGAGAAGTCTCGGCATATACAAAAATACTTTTTCTTGACATTATAAACAGTATCACGGCATATTAAACTCTACCGAGTCACAATATTTCAGGAAATTGTTCTGTCAATGCTTTCCCACAGACCTCTTGAGTACGTAGAATTCATGGGGGTTCAATGGCGAACAATCTGAATTCCTGCAGTTTGAGAAGAAGATTTTCTTGGTTTTATCTTGTCTGATTACTGAACGATTTTGACAAGATTTGATTCTCGCCAGTTGATCACTGCCCAAGAGGGATCTGAGGGCTCTGCAAGGGTATACAAGCTGAAAAAATGAGGTTATATGAAGGTGCATGTCAAGCGATTTTAAAAAAGGCTTTGTAAGCGGAAATAATACTGTCATCGGGCATGGTGCCAATACTTTTCAGCCACCCACCAATTACTAGTCTGGAATCCTGCCGAAAGCTCTCTAAAAGATCTTCTGAAGAAGTGACTGCGCCGAGAAAAGTGCATTGTCGTTCGCGACGTTTTACGGTAGGTATGAAAGGGGGGTATCGGCAGCTGAATTATTCAAAGGCAGTAAACCTTTATAGCAGAGGGAACAGGCTTTACGATTCTAAGCGATTTTCCTCGGTAGTATTTCATCACACGTGACCATAACCGTTTAGTAATTAGCACTTCGTCTTTCCGATTCATAGAACACGTGAATAATCTGCAGGTATCATCATTTCCTCAAGCCCTTCCAATCCGAAATTCATAGAGGACTATTATACTATCCTTATCTTTTTTGGAAATAAGATATTATCGTGATAGGAAGAATTTTGTGCCAACCTAAATTATTTTGAAGGTCAACGATATAAATTTCCACCTTTCTGCGAATAAACGCTGTAGGAAATTAAGAATACGACGATGTTCAGCTTCAGTGAGACTTTCAATGTTTTGCATTGATCAACTCGTTTAATTTGTTTATTTTACATCGATTGATTGGATTTGAAGTTTATTTCTACGAATCAAACATGGATCTACGCATTCGACTTTCATTCAAAGTCGTGGTGGTGGGTGAATGCTTATGTGACCTATGCAATGACTTCGGTGGCCAGCCGATGCTTTATCCTCCCAGATGAATTTGGCACCAATTGGCCGACCACGGACCTGGTTAGCATTATCGTCATCTGTTCGGGGCTTTATCTTCTGCACTTACATGTGGTAGCCCAATTTATTTATTTATTTATTTATTTATTCATGCACCTCATTGAGTGCGCACAGCCAGAAGCAAGTAAGCCACCCGCCGCCACAGTACAATGTGAGACTAGGAAGAGGGGAGGACAGGAATACCTGT